ACCTACTTGGATTATCCTTTCCACTTACGGATTTGATATTATTTTCTATCTATCTATCTATCTATCTATCTATCTATCTATCTATCTATCTATCTATCTATGTGTGTGTGTGCGTGTATAATATCGAATATAGAATCCCGACAAAATTTTGCAGAAACTTAATAGATAAAAAAACGTATCATCAAAACTAGACTTGATTACACGTTTCGGCTTTCTTGGCTTCATCACATCGAAAAATGAAAGAAATATGCGTGTGTATTCGTGTATATGCTTAAATAATGAATCATTATGAAACAGTAATAAATATATATATATATATATATATATATATATATATATATATACATGCAACTATGCTGAGCAGACCTTAGTTACAGTTTCTGGGAGAGAGCGTGTTATCTAGCGTGATCAACAATTTTAACAAAGGCCAGCACGCTCATATATATATATATATATATATATATATATATATATATATATGTATGTATATGTATTGAACATATGCTTTTTATTTATATATATATATATATATATATATATATATATATATATATATATATATATATATATATATGTAAAAGGGCTCTGGTGAAATAAATTATTATAATGGTACCTTAAAGTGGTCTGTTTTTTTTTTTTTAAATATATATATATATATATATATATATGATAAAAAAATAGTTTAAACTATGCTATATATATATATATATATATATATATATATATATATATATATATATATATATATACTGAACACTGTGGCATAGCATAGTTTAAACTATTTTATTTTTTATATATATATATATATATATATATATGATAAAATAGTTTAAACTATGCTATGCCCATATATATATATATATATATATATATATATATATATATACTGAATATATATATTGAAGTAATTCTAAGACAGAATAGAAAAGTTTTACTTCTGATGCGTTTCATCCTTCAGGACTTCATCGGACTTGGTTTGTTGATGTTGTTGCGATTAGACATGCACTTGAGCGAGAGACGCTGATAGTTTAAGAATTTTTGAAGAATTTTTAAAATAATTTTTTGCAATCTAGCCAAATTCATCAATATATTTTTTCTTTTTTTTTTTGCCATCATCTTTTTTATTAAGTATCCCCCATTGTGATTATAGAAAATCTGCCAAGAATGGTAAAATGTTATAAGAACCTGGACCTAAATTTACTGTGGCTGAGCTAGCAATTAAAGCACTTTCTAGACATTTTCATCTTAGTGAATTATTCTTTTTTTTATTGAGAGTCGCATTTTTTATATCAAAATTGTGGTCAGTCTCTTTACGGTGAACAACCAATACGTTTTGTGTGTTGTTGTTTTTTGTTTTTTTTTATAAATGTCTCTTTTGTTTAAACTTCTTGAAGTTTCTCCAATATATTCTTTCTGGCAATCCTTGCAAGTGATACAGTAAATTTCTCTTTTAAGTTTTGGCTTGTTTTTTCTTTTTGTTTTTTTTTATTCATTAAGACTTTTATTGGTTTAGATGTAGTTGTGACAAATTTTATGCTGAGTTTAGATAAATTCTGTTCGTTTGTAGTTTTGAGAGAGTTAATGGGTAAAATAATATGTATATTTTTTTGATTCGTTGGTTTTGTCAAGAAGGACAACTCTTCTCTTTTGGAATATTTTATGAGTCCTTTGTTTCGCATTGAATATGAAATTGGTTATTGAAATGTCTACTAGTCAGTTGTAATAAGTTTTATTTGTAACGTATATAAATGTAGGTATAAAAACCCAAATGTTGAAAAGAGTCACAAAGCACTGTCCGAGGCCCCTAATCACCCCTCAGTCGGGAGGTTCGAGGGTAGTACCTATCGGCCCTGGGGAGAGTCCATTATTATTATTATTATTATTATTTCCTTTCATTTCAGTGTGTACACATTTCTTTCGGGGTCCCATCCAGAGATCATAATGACATTTTCCACTGGGCAATTAAAAAAAAATACAAAAATAAATAAATAAATCATGAACACACATATTTTACATAGTTAAAGCCCTTCGTAAAGTGTGTGCTGTACTCGTGAGAACAATTTTTTTTTGTATTTCTTTAAGGTATGGGCTTCCAGGAATCCCTTCAATGAGTCTATTGCAATCTTTTCCAATCCATCCGAGGGCTTCAACTACAACTGGGATTGTTGATATTCCCATGTTCCACATTTTTGAGATTTCGATTTCAAGTTCCTTGTATTTTGATAGCTTTTTGAAGATCTTCAAAGATACATTGCAGTCTGCAGGGACTGCCATATCAATAAGGATGCAATTTTTTTTGTTTGTGGTAATTGATAACGATGTCTGGGCAATTAGCTTTGATTGTTCTGCCTGTGTGTATTGTGTAGTCCCATTATATTGTTACAAGTTCTATCTCCCTAACGGCATTTGGGTGGCGTTCAAACCAGTTATTATTATTATTATTATTATTTTTATTATTATTATTATTATCACAAAGCCCCCAGGTCAGGACCAATAATATTGCTGATTCTTCTTTAGATTTTATCAAAGATTTCAAGGTAAATAGCAGAGGCTCTGGTCCATATGCTGCAGCAATATTCTAAGCCTGGATGAATGGTAGAATTATACACATGTAAGATTCTGGAGACAAAAATTGTCTAACATGAAACAGGGACTAACGTATCAATAAGGAGGTAATTTTTTTTGTTTGCGGTCTCTAATCACGATGTCCGAGCGGTAGCTTTGATTATTCTGTCCGTGTGTATTGTGAAACCCCATAAAAATTGTTACAGGTCCTGTCTCCCTAATCGGGACAATTTCGTTCAGTTTCCTTTCCGTAGAAGTTTCAGATTTTCCAGTGCAGATTTTGGCCCACTCTGTCATGCCGTGTTTTATATTCAGTGGGTAGATATACCTTGCAACCTGATATAAGATGGTCGATTATTATTATTATTTCCTTTGATGTCTGGTGTGTAGACATTTCTTTCAGGGTCCCGCCCATAGGTTAGAAATGGAATCATGACATTTTCCACTGACCAATTACCCCCCACCCCCCACAAAAAATTACACAAACATCTTTTACATAGCTAAAGCCCTTTGTAAGTTGTGGGCTGTATTCGTGAGTACAATTTTCTGTATTTTTTTAAGGCATGGACTTCTAGGAATCTCTTCAATTAGTCTACTGGAATCTTTTCCAACCAGTCTGACGGCTCCTACTACAACAGGATTCTTGATTTTACCTCAGTGTCTTTTATATTTACATACGTTCTATCTGTAACGCACATCACACACGCAGACATATATATATATATATATATATATATATATATATATATATATATATATATATATATATATATTACATCGTTTGCAGCACTCTGACTTTCATACGTTTTGCATTCGTCAGCTCTGTTATTTAACACTGAGCACTGTTTTCTTACACTGTAGAGTGTATATATACTCTCTCTCTCTGTATATATATATATATATATATATATATATATATATAGAGAGAGAGAGAGAGATAGATAGATAGATAGATAGATAGATAGATAGATCGATAGTCAACATAAAACCTGACGATTGCGTCGAATATGAAAACAGACTGTTGCCTCTGTGCGTTGACTTCGGTGTTCACTTTTATATTTACATACGCTCTGTCTCTGATATTGAGCACTTTATCCCATATATAACACAACTTAAAACTATATATATATATATATATATATATATATATATATATATATATATATATCATTATATATATATATCTTTTATATATATATATATTCATATATATATACATATATATCTTTATATATATATATTCATATATATATATATATATATATATAGTTGCGTATATATATATATATTAAAGATTTATGCACATGCATTAGTTTTTGTCGTAAGTCACAATTGAATTTTGCAATGTTATTGTGTGGTCGTCGTATTCGGTAACGAGTTGATACCTATCATGTAATTGTGAGTTCAATCCCTATGTCGGGTAGCACAGTCTCTGATGAATGAGGACTGGTAATGACTGAGCAGTGTTAAAAATGAATAAGACGATATATCTCGGGACATGATCAATCGAACGATAACAATATATCTCCGTAATTAGTGTTTAAAATTTCCTGAAAATGATATAGAGTGACAGACAGAAGAAGCCAGGGGGGTACAACGGCCGAAACATATGATAATAACAATCAAGATGAGGAAAATAGTCCTGGTGTATATAATGTGAATAATGAAAACTCTTTATTCCAGATATTCAGACCTGAAAGTAATGTTATATAAATTATATTTAAATATAAATTTTTGATAAATCTTGTCATGAAATTAAGTCAAAATCTTTCATTTCAGTATATAAGACTTCTACAGATACATTATTTTCTCTTCTCCGTTCCATAAGGTAAATTTCGGTCATGTCATTAGTTTAACCCTTGTTTCTATCATCCCATTGCATTCTAAAAAAATTAAACATTTCTCCTTTCATTTTATTTATTTATTTATTTATTGCCATTCCTTTCTCTTTCAGTCCTTGGGCTAAACATCTTTATTGGTTATATATTTATTAAAATTATTCTTTGCTTCAAGCAAAGCGTTTTCCTAAAATTGCGAGCATACGAATAGGAAATGAATTCATTACATACACAAAAATAGAAATGGCAATAAGACATGAATGTGATTTCTTGAGGGATTTATTCAAACTTATTCTAGGCGATCCTGAGAGAAACTGAAGTTCTACTTGGTTAACTATTGTCAGCTTCAAGGTTAATAACTTTAGACATGTCGATGACACAGTGTTGATAGTTTACACAGAAAGGAAATTGCAAAAACTCCCATAGAAGGTAATACAGGAAAGTGAGAAGAAAGGTTTAAATATTAATTGTAAGAAGACAGGAGATATGGTTGGCAGCAAAACAAACTGCCCAAGCAAAATCAATCCAGCACAAAAGTGTGTCTTCTCATCGGAGTTCTTCAAGGCTGTTTTGAAAGAAAGAAAGAAAGAAAGAAAGAAAGAAAGAAAGAAAGAAAGAAAGAAAGAAAGAAATATCGAAAAATAAAAGAAAATGTCTGGAAATAAAGTAAGAAAAAAATAAAAACGAGAAGAAAGAAAGATTCAAGAGAAAGATGAAAATTAAATTCAATAAGAAAGAAAGAAAGAAAGAAAGAAAGAAAGAAAGAAAAGAAAGAAAGAAAGAAAAAAGAAATATCGAAAATAAAAGAAAATGTCTGGAAATAAAGTAAGAAAAAAATAAAAACGAGAAGAAAGAAATATTCAAGTAGAAAGATGAAAAATTAAATTCAATAAGAAAGAAAGAAAGAAAGAAAGAAAGAAAGAAAGAAAGAAAGAAAGAAAGAAATATCGAAAAATAAAAGAAAATGTCTGGAAATAAAGTAAGAAAAAAATAAAAACGAGAAGAAAGAAATATTCAAGTAGAAAGATGAAAAATTAAATTCAATAAGAAAGAAAGAAAGAAAGAAAGAAAGAAAGAAAGAAAGAAAGAAAGAAAGAAAGAAAGAAATATCGAAAAATAAAATAAAATGTCTGGAAATAAAGTAAGAAAAAAATAAAAACGAGAAGAAAGAAATATTCAAGTAGAAAGATGAAAAATTAAATTCAATAAGAAAGAAAGAAAGAAAGAAAGAAAGAAAGAAAGAACGACAGGTTTGGAATAAGAAAGGAAAAAGATCTTGAAGAAGAAAGAAAGAAAGAAAGAAAGAAAGAAAGAAAGAAAGAAAGAAAGAAAGTTACAGAACGTGACTAAATGTAAAAGAATGGAATAGAAAACGATTAAAAAAGAAGACGAAATAAAGAAAAATGCAGACAAAAAGAAAGTGAAGAAATAAAGCGAAGAAAGGGAGGAAAAGAAAGACTAACAAAATTGATGATTATTTAGCAAATAATAAGTGATAACGTGAAATAAATAAACCAATCAAATTCAACGAAAAGAATATCTCTTCCCGTCATTCCCTCAGCTGTCTGTTGCTATTGGCAACGGCAGAACCGACCTGCAGAGCCGCCAGCAACTCAGTCCCGAGATAAGCGCAGCGTTCTTTCGAGAAATCTAAACAAATCCTTCAAATCCGCTGACGCAATCCATCAATCAACAGATTCGAGTTTATTACTTTTACTACGTCAGTAAAACGGCCTATCGATACTGTCACTTCATATCTATCTATCTATCTATCTATCTATCTATCTATCTATCTATCTATCTATCTATCTATCTATCTATCTATCTATCTCTTTCTGTTTCTATCTATCTATCTATCTATCTATCTATCTATCTATCTATCTATCTCATTGATGTTTTATTGCCCAGTATTTTGATATCTTCCGTTTTCACACTCTTTACGCCATAACAGGTTATACAATCAATCTTTTTAAATTAGGATTAATATCTCCAAAGTTTTTCTAAAAATAACGTAGCATGATGAGAAAAACCCAAACCTGATAAAAAAACAAAGTTTCATCGTCTAAATCTTTATGTTATTTTTAAAAGGAAAGACCAAAGTGTTTATTATAATTATTTTATTAAAATTTTTAATCCTTTCTAGCACGTTCGGATTTTGGTTAAAAATCCTGTTTTTCATGCGTCAGCGGGTGGGCCAAAGATTAGTATTAGGAAAATGGCGGCCAAAAAAAAAAACACATTGATTTGGTAATTTTTCCAAAATCAAATAATTGTCGGAATTTAATGAAATTTTCAGAATTTATTCACAAATGAATGTAATTATTTTTAAAAATTTTTTTAGAAAATCTCGCTAAAAATACTATTTTTCATTTACATCTGTTACCCCGACTTAATTTTATGAAATTCTGAGAAATTAAAATTTCAGCTTCTTCATATTTATATTAGTTAAAACAGGACTTCTTGGAGAATTTAAATGCTGAATTTGTTTTTGTCAAAGAGAAACACCATTTACAGAAAATTGGCTCTGAATCGTAAAATAAAAAAATGAACATAAAACTATGACATTATTCAATTAGAAAAACTTTTAATTGCTTTTATAAATAGAATATATACGGGACACTCTTAAGATTTTTTTTTTCGATTGATAATGAAGTTTTACAAGAATTGTTTTCATATTTTAAGTTTTAATTAGAAAAAAATATTACGGTTTAAATTTTTTAAAATTCTGTATTTGTTTCAGCCTTTTAGATTATTAAATGAAAACTATATATACTAATTATAAATGGAAAAGTTTTTTAAAAAATTCATCAAAACCGAATATTTTTAAAAGAATTTTGAATTGTTTTTTGTATGTTTATAAACGTGACGATACGGACGACCATACTCGACATTATCCGAAAATAAGAACGATGTCTATAGTAAGTTTAAGACCATTTCTAAAATTCACTAATACATTAGATTATGGAAAATATTTTCCTGAAATTTTTAAGATTTCTGAGTACTTAAGAATTATATAAAAAAGTTATTTTCAATTATGTTTTAAATGATATAATCTAAGTAGAATAATAGTTAATCTGTCATCACGCTGACAAACGCATCAACACAGCTACTGACGAGTTAAAAAATGCAATTCTGCAATATTTTAAATTCAAAGTAAATAATATTTATTTCAAATCAGATTAATTATACTTTAAATCAGCTAATATTCTTCAAAGTTTGAGAAAAGTATATTTTATTTTTGGAAGATTTTTTTTGATAAAGAGAATTGCATTATCCTTATTAAATTATCTATCTTTATTAAAATATAAATAACTTATTTTGCGTCAGTGTTTATATTAAAAACCTTAACACATTATCCCATATACATGAAAAATTATTATTTTATTTCACATATTAATGTGGCGACTTGACATTCTGTGACTTTCATCAATTTATCATTTGATGAGTTTGCTATTTTGGATGTGCGGATGGTGCAATGAATAGAGGCACAGAATGAGAAATCGAAAACCTGAGTTCGAATTCTAGTCGGGTTCTTAACTTTCACATATGCGCAAACAACCTTCTCTTTCCTCCAGCAATGGGTTAAATAGTAGGATATTTCTGGAAAACTATTGTTTTTACAATCCCAACTATATTTAAATAACTCACAAAAGTTGATAAACCGTAAAAAAACTAACAAATCAATTTCAACTGTTTTGACTTTACCATTACTTACAATAGTTTTTGTTTTGGTTTGTTTTACGGTATATCAACCTCAATAGGTTATTTAATGCCGACAAAGTTTTTTTATTGCTGGTAATATTTCTATCTATCTATCTATCTATCTATCTATCTATCTATCTATCTATCTCAGTATATATTGGTTTGGTTTGGTTTGGTTTACGGCATAACAACCACAATGGCTTATTTAATGCCGAAAATCTTTTTTTGCTGGCAATATTTTGCTTTCCAAAAATGTATTATTGTTAATATTTTTTTCTTCAAAAATCTATTGCTGGCAAATTTTTTTCAAAAAATGTATTGGTGGTAATGTTTTTTTTTTTTTAATGTATTGCTGGTAATAATTTTTTACAAAGTATTTCTGGTATTAAAACCTATTTTTACACTTTCATAGTGTTTTGACCCCAGTTTAGGGGTTAACTATTTGCCCATAGCTGGGACCCTAACAGGTGCTACCACCCTAGGTCAGGATGGACCTGGGAACACCAGCAATCAAGAGGTGGTTCCACGCTCCTCAAAACCCCCTGATCAGATTCCTTGCTGTCGGATGTTACATATGATCTTACCCAAGACGCGGGTGTAGTTTATCGTCATACCCAAGAAGGGAAATAGTTTTTATTATTTTGGTTATTTAAATATTGTTTTTCATTCCAACACAAATTTCTTTTATTGGTGAACCACAAGCTTTTCATCGAATTAAACTCTAGAGATCGATGTGCTTACTCTATTAATTTTAGGAAGCTGGAAAATAGTCAGTTGGCATACGAAGGCGTTTAATATTTTTTGGTCGGAAGCGGTAAAAAAAAAATCAAAACAAAACAAAACAGCTCTCCACATTATCATCATTTTATCTTCTTCTGAACGTGGTTGGTCATGTTTCACCAAAAATTCCCATCCCTTTCAGCTCTTAGCAATATGTGTCTTTGTAAAATCTCTCACATTCCCCGTTCTGTCATCTGTTCTCATAAACACGTATGAAAGATGGCCCGCAGCCTCCCTCTACCTCTTCTGGCTTCGATATGTCCCTGAGTGTGTCAAATTTTTCAAGCTTTCTTTACTCATTATGTGTCCTATAAATTTCATCTATCTCTTTCTGATCTTGAAAATAAGTGTCCTTTAAGTCCTTCGCGTTGCTTACACGCTCCATCACCGATATTCTTAGCATTCTTCTACAGAGTCGCATTTCTGTCGCTTCCAGTAATCTGAAACATTATTCAACCTTCCAGCAGTTCTATTCTAACTCATGATGGTTGACTATTTCCATGAAATATCCAACACCGAGTCGAATGTAGGTCTAGATCGGTTATAGTTCTAGATTCATTATTAAAAATTACGCTTCATAAATCAGTTTTCATCTCCTAATTTTTACGTTTACCTTTTGCTTAAATGTTTTAGGTTCGTTGTCATGTCTTCAGCCACCGTTCTTAATATCTGACAGTCATTATTCCCGTTTACATTCGTAACACCAACAATTTCTTGCTGGTCAATCAAATTCTCTTGCTTTCCATATTTTTTTTACGTTTATTGATACCCATTTACGGCGGGACAATGATCTAAAGAGGCTTTTTTAAAGCCAGTCTTTGCTTTTTATTATCTTACCAATGTTTTCAATTTCTTTTTGGATTGTTTCAGCAGATATAACTTTTTTTTTTTTTTTTTTTTTAATTTTCCAATATGATATTCCAAAATCACTCAATTGTGGCAGGGGCGATATCACCCTGAAATAATAATAATGGTAAAGGCGGATATGCTGTAAAACAGAAAACACCCAGTGAAAGAGAGGCGTTTTCGAATAACCAAGATGTTAATATGCTGTAAGGACTTTGAAATGTAAATGTTACAGAAATTTAATTTAGAACACGAAATACAATCATTTTGTAAATGTACAAAGAATATCAGATTACTAATAGAAAATTATGAACAATAATAATTTGGAACATTTAGACAAAGAAATGGATTTGACACTATAAGAATCGAAGTTAAAATTAAGGGTGTTTGAATCTAGAATTTACTTTTAAAACAAGAATATCTGTAGTTTACATAGAGCGACCGAATAAATAATAGCGAGGTGATAAACAATAGCGTCTTGTTGTGAACCTTGGAAACTAATCGATGAAAAAGTAAATTGTTTATTCTTGAAGGAGTGAAGTTGTACTTTGGTAATATGTCAGTACGTTCGCACTAGAAAAACAGGTACGTTACCAGTCTGGGGGGCGAGTCACTTAATAAAAAAGCGAGGAGGCACGGTGGAGTAATGGATAGCGGCTTGGATTGAGGAATCGCAGAGCCGAGTTCGAATTCCAGTCGAATCCATTACATTCACTTACGTGCTAATACCCTTGGGAAAGGTATGAATCCTCTTCCTCTCCCTCCAGCTATGGGTAAAATAGCAGGACAAACTGGGTTCTATAGCCTAGGATGGCAACTGGTCTAGGAGAAGGACAACTCTGAATTCAAAACCTGCGGAGGGTCGTTTGGGAACCTTGTGGCATTCGGTGCACCAGGTCTCTGTATTCGTCCCTTCAAAGATCTTAGATGAGGGTGAATGGAGTCTCTCTGAGCCTTGGTTGGCAATCCATTTAGTGATGGTGTCACGATAAAAACACCCTTGATAGCCCTAGCGAAGCATCAAGAATTCAGCTATTTGACAAGGTTATGAACTACACCAATCAAAGTATTGAAGATAAGGAATACTGGAAAGGTGTAGTGAGTTCAATCTCGGCTGAGGCCGCAAGATGATGATGATGAATAAAAAAGCGGGCCAACCGGAGAGAATAGAGTTTTGGGTTCGTCTGTCTTTGAATGCAGTCGAACTGTAGAGAGACGTCAGAGATTGAAAAGGAAGCATCCGCTCAGTGTTGACGAAGCTGTGGGCGAAGAAGTGAAATACCGCCACTAAAATTTAAGTACCACTACTCCTGCTACTATTAATACTACTACTACGTCTACTGAGAACGGGAACATCGAAGGTTGTAGTAATTCCGCTAAGAACAGACCAAAAAGGGTTAAAACGAAGGCCACATCTCTCCTTAGCGAAATTATTCGAAGTATTTGTATTTGTTTGGTTATTACTCGCATACAAGAAACATTCAAACTTGTGCAACAAGAATTATTTTTCTGTGTGTGCGTTTGTTTTTATATATAAAAAAATCTTTTTTTCTTTCAAAATCGAATCGACTTGGTTATATTTATTTTTCTGTTAACTCGATTCTCACCCGATGTAATCGCGGGTGGACCAACGGAGAGCTTCCAGATTTCTACGATCTGATGACTACTCTCCAGGATAAAAACAATCACAACGTGACTGGAGGGTGGCTTGGAAATGACACTGGGAACCGGAGACTTCTAATACTGGACCATACCGAACCAACGGCCGGGGTGGGGATACGGTGTTACACAATGACTTTACAAAATTTGGTTCCTCTTTTAGATTTTCTTTTTTTTTTTTTTAAATCATTTCACTGCAAATAAGGCGAGAAAGCCACTGAGATGCAAGGGGTTACTGAGTGTGAAAGAAAAATAGAGGGAAATAAAAGAACAGGATTCAATGAGACGGAATATGACAAGTGACATTGCATTTGAAGTTTTAAAGATCGTAGTTGACAAGAAAGTAGGAAACCGGGAGTGAGTTCTACAAGCGAAAAATGCGAGAGAGAAGAAACTATTAACATAGAACTTACGGTTACTAATAATATACTATTAATAACTTACTTAAGACTCTATAGCAATCTTTAACCATCTGAAATTTAAAAATACTACTATATTAGCTGAACCGTCTGTCTACACTGGCTAAGATGTGAAGACTTAGATCATAACTGATTTTAATATGTCGCGCATGTAATGGTCACCGTATACATAGCCCAAGAGCCACTCGAGGTTGAGGTTTACTGTAACGGGTTATTGTGTGAGCAGAAAAAGTAAGATTCGAAAAGTGCATTTTATGAGGATATGTAAGGAAGCTAACGGTTAACCCTAGACTTGAACATGTTAAAATTGTAGTGATCAGGAAAGCATCCTCTTGGGAGTCTCAATACCACAAAGTAGCGTTCCGTCAGATGAAGCTGTTCCATGATTTACTGATTCATTTTTTACGGTTTATCAACCATTTGCAGGTTATTTAAAGCCAGAAAATATTTTTATATTGTAAGAAAAAACAGTTTGAGGGATAATAATGATTTAGTGATAAAAGTCTTAATATTTAACCCATAGCTGGGAGGTGGATTCATACTTTTTACCAAGAGTATTTTCGCGTAAGTGAATACAACAAACCCAACTGAAATTGGAACAAGCCATTATCCATTAGACCAACCGCAATTTAAATAAATCACGAGTCACTGATGTTTTAAGTGGTGACCCATCTAAGTCATAAGAAAAGAGCCGATGCTTTCAGAATTATTTGACCATCCGTTAGTATAATGCTTTTACCCATTGACCATTTTGACTTTTATTTTTTTTGTGGACTCCCATAACCATTCAATGAATAAAAAGATTATTTTATTTTTTTACTAATAGATAAGGTTAGGAATTGTACTATAGAAATAGTAAATATATATTCTACAGAAAGTACCATAGACCGAGTGTGCGAGCAACGATGAGGTTTTGGAGAGAATGCAAACAAGGAGGAAGCTTATACTTAACATCAGGAAGAGGCATCTGAAATTCTGGGAGACATAATGAGGCCTTGATTTGATTTGGTTTGGTTTATTTTGTTTTACGGCGTATCAACCTCAACGCGTTTTTTTAATGCCGACAACATTTTTAGGATAGATTCGTATGAATAGAATATGTATTTTTTGGTTTAGATTGGTTTGGTTTATTTTGTTTTACATCATATCAACCTCAATGGGTTATTTAATACCGACAACTATTTTAGGATAGATTCGTATGAATAGAATATGTATTCTTTGGTTTTGATTGGTTTGGTTTATTTTGTCCCACGGCACACCAACCCCAATGGGCTACTCAATGCCGACAAAATTCTTTATTTTTGTCAAAAATCTGTTTCTGGTAATATTTTTCCTTAAAAATTGTATTGTTGGTAATAATTTTTCCAACAAAGTATTGCTGGTAATAGTTAACTATTTGCCCATAGCTGGGACCCTAACAGGTGCTACCACCCCGGGTCAGGGTGG